TTGTGGGCCCATTTTAGGGCCGAACTCGATGATCTGAACCGTTCTCTTTTTAGGATTCTTTGGATAGAATATTCATACAAAACATTAAGATGATTGGATATCGATATCTATAAGTTTGAATCACATTTGTTTAAAAAAAAAAATAGATGACAAATATAATTTCAAGAATTATTTAATACAAATGTAATTCAAATATATAGCTACCGATATCTCATCTTGATTTTTTTTTCATTAATATTCTACTTAACGAATATTAAAAAGTAGACGGTTTGAATTACGGAAAGCGTTGCCCCAAAATAGGCCTACCAAGCCCAAACTATTCTCTGAAATTGGAGAATCCAAACCCTATTAGAAAAATACTAAAAACAACTCTTAGGCTATTTTTAGTTGGTGGATTTGATGAGAAAAATAGAAAGAGAAGGAAATACAATTCCATTTTTTATTTCGTTATAATGGCAAAACACAGGGGGGGAAGTGAGAGAGAAATGAATTAAGAAACGAGAGGATCTTCTAGAACTTCATTTCCTAACTCAACCAAACACAATTTGAAATTTGAATCGTATCAATTCTTTCGCATTTTGTTTCTATTTCTCATTTCCTTTCCATTTCCATTATCAAATCTTCCAACCAAACACAGTATTAAGGTCTTCATTAATATTGGGAATTAGTGTGGTGATATTAGATTAGAGATGCAAGATAAATTGTACTTGTTTACACACTACATAGGCCTTGTTAGGGAAGTTGGCTATTTAATTTTTTGACTATTTTGGTCTGGCTAAAATAATTGTGTTTGAGAAGTTGGTTGGCTATTTTTTGTAGTTAATTTGATGGTTGTGAAAGAAAAAGTGAAATGATTATGCATTTGATGCGATATTTTGTCTTATTGATTATTTTAGTCTATTTCGTCTTTTAGTGGGCTACTTTAGCCCAATCCTCTTCTCAAACACTCCCATAGTGATATTAGTTAGTTGTGATTAAATTTGTGAAATTACATAAAAATCCTTATATTATTTTTGTAAAGGAAAGGGCAAAATTGTCTTTATCACCAATCTCATGTAATTAGATTTCAATACCAGTTGGTGGATTTGATGAGAAAAATAGAAAGAGAAGGAAATACAATTCCATTTTTTATTTCGTTATAATGGCAAAACACAGGGGGGGAAGTGAGAGAGAAATGAATTAAGAAACGAGAGGATCTTCTAGAACTTCATTTCCTAACTCAACCAAACACAATTTGAAATTTGAATCGTATCAATTCTTTCGCATTTTGTTTCTATTTCTCATTTCCTTTCCATTTCCATTATCAAATCTTCCAACCAAACACAGTATTAAGGTCTTCATTAATATTGGGAATTAGTGTGGTGATATTAGATTAGAGATGCAAGATAAATTGTACTTGTTTACACACTACATAAGCCTTGTTAGGGAAGTTGGCTATTTAATTTTTTTAGCTATTTTAGTCTGGCTAAAATAATTGTGTTTAAGAAGTTGGTTGGCTATTTTTTGTAGTTAATTTGATAGTTGTGAAAGAAAAAGTGAAATGATTATGTATTTGATGTGACATTTTGTCTTATTGATTATTTTAACTTATTTTGTCTTTTACTAGGCTACTTTAGCCCAATCCTCTTCTCAAACACCCCATAGTGATATTAGTTGGTTGTGATTAAATTTGTGAAATTACATAAAAATCCTTATATTATTTTTGTAAAGGAAGGGGCAAAATTGTCTTTATCACCAATCTCATGTAATTAGATTTCAATACCACATCTCCTATGGAATTGCTAATCCCCTCATTGGAAGGATTTTATAGTCTCACGGGACTTTCAATCCCATAGCAATTTTCTAAAATAAAAGTATGATTTTTGTGGACCCATCTCACTACTGGTCCAATCCCTTTTTTCATATCTCAAAACAAATATGGCTAAAGTATATTAAATCTTTTTAAATACAGTGAAGATTGTCCAACATATATGTGCAAAAATATTTTAAAAATACAAAAAATATGTTAAAATTATAAATATTTTGACATTTTGTAATATTTATTGACAACCCTAAGCCTATATATTATATGTTCCTTTCCGAACAATTTCTTTTATACATAAGCATGATTTCTTCTTTATTCTACATATCTTTTGGAAAAAAAAAAAAAGAAAAAAAGGCAATACAATTTGATAAATAAATAGAAATTAAAACATAAAATTTTAATATCTACATTTTTAAATAATAAATAAATTAATGTATCTTAATATCTATATTTTTAATTAAATAAAATTTTATATATATTTATAAGATAATTATGATATTGCGATTTGATTCTGATTGACCCAACAATTGAACTAGTAACTAGTTCCTTTTTTCGATTTAGCCAACAGTACAACTTATAAAATCGACCATAAGACTAAAAAAACATATATATTGGTTTAAGTGGGCATGTTTGGGCTAATGAAAAAAAAAAATGTGTAAAGACAATAAAATGCACAATGACAAAGATAATAAGGCATACATAAGACTTGTTAAAAACAAAACTGTAATACCATATTAGATAGTTTCAAAACTGTTAAGAAATAAATCCAACAGTTTATTATCAAGTTAACAAGTACATAACCCACCACCATAATTATAATGAATTGAACCGGGTATGGGAAGAGAAAGGATCTCTATCCAATCTCATTTGTTAATTTTTGATTAGCAAGTTAGGAATTTGTAATATTTAAGTAGGATTGGTAAGACATAAAATAAAGAAGAAAAAAACATAACATTATAAGTTACATGCATATAAGAAGAATACAAAATTGATGTGGTTTACCCCAAAACAAATATACATAGATATTGTATTCTCGTTAACTACTTATACAAAGAATTAAGACAACGTATCAAAAGTAAGAAATATCAAATTTACGTTTAATTCAAATTCGGGTTGGGGCCGCAATCGAATACATAATATTTGATACTTATAAAGATTCATATTACCTCAACACAACTAATATCACGTAAAATTATATTACTATTGCGCTCAATATTTATTTCAGAATAGGATCACGATAGAAAAAAGGAATTGGTGACCCACCTTATGTTGTACTAGCTAGCTAGGTTAATAATGCAATATTGCTAACCCATCCAGAGATATTGACTGAGATATCTATCATAGCTTCATTCAAGTGAGTGGGGAAAGGGTAAGGACTGTTGAATCTTGTCTTCCTAAACAAGAAAAGGCATCAGCGTACCCGCCACAAAAATAATGGTAGGTGATCAATTCAGGAGTGTTTTTTTTTTTTTTTTGGAATATTCTGAAAAAACCAATTAGGGAATTGATTCACTTTTTAAATTATCACTACAAGAAATGTCACTTTTGGCTACCAAAATATTGGTCGCCAAAAGTCCCAAATTTGGTCGCCGAAACCATTTACCGACCAAAATTTTTTGTCGCTAAGCTCGTCGCCTTTACCCTGTCGGCGATAGTATTGGCGACTAAAATTTATTTGGTCGCCGAAAGTGTACACATTTGGCTACTAATCTTAGTTTAGTCGGGAAAAGGTATGTTTCTGCCACTAAAGTATTAGTCGCCGAATGTGACTTTTGGCTACTAACATTCATTTGGTCGGCGAATGTGTTACTTTTTGCTACGAAAGAATTAGTCACCGAAAGTTAACATTTGGCTACGAATCCATACTTAGTCGGCAATAGTGACATTTTGGCTACTAATTTTTTAGTCACTAAAAGTTCTACATGAAAATTTTAACCAACTATTCATTACTTTTTGCTACCAAATGTTTTAGTCGCCAAATGTTTTTGCTACTAAATTATTAGTAGCCAAATAATTCCAACTATGTATGTGGCTACCAAAATATTTGGTGGCCAAATATTTTCTGTTTTTTTTTTTTCCCAAAAAAATTCTAAACAACCTACATCCATGTTTAATACAACCTGTACGTACATAACACAGGATTCAATATAACCCAATATAACCCATCAACGCTAAATATATTATCAAGCATTCAACAACGTGCACACATTCTAGTTCCAATCATCCAAAACATTAAAAAGAAACGTCCAATTCTATATATAATACAAATTCCATACGAACCAAGTCTAATCCAACGTCAATAATTTCATTTCATACATAATACAGGACTAACCAAATTAATTTCCAAAAAAGACATATGTACCACAACATGTCCTAATACATATTTTAAGAAGATTATATGAAGGCTTATAAATACTAGACTAGGCACAAGTGCAAAAAAATAGTGAATGTTTCGATTTCTCCCAGCATTATCAAACCAAAGAATCTTTCTGAATCATGGCAGTGCAGCCATCATTGTCCGTTTTGCTGCCTCACGCTTCATCTCTGCTGCTTTGCCACTGCCACGGAAGTACATGTAAACATCCTGCATAATATAAATAAAATGAAAAAATAATAAGATTAATACCAAGTGTCCATGAAAATAAAATTAAAAAAATAGCCATTCAATTCTAGGTAACACATATTTGGAAGCTACAATTTTAATTAGTATAAACAAGTACATGCTCCCTCCTCCTCAATTCAGCCTCCTTTGCTTGGAGTTTCTTTCTCCTTTGTTCTGAAAGCCTAGATTGCAGCAGAGGATAATGAAATTAACAAAGCCTATCTCTATGCATAAAAATAGTAAACAAGTTCAACATCCACTAAAAATAGTAATGAAATTAATAATTATGATTTTATAATTTTTTTATTTTCATTCGGCTACCAAACTATTTAGTACAACAACAACAACCCACAAAAATCATAAATAAAAATGGAGAAACAAGCGACATTTGCACTCCCATAATATTCAAGCTGGTAATGATGAACATAGTAAAGGCCAGAAATATCTATTCAGAAGGCAAACAATTTAGCATTTGCAGTTTGCTTCCTAAGGTAAGACAGAATCACATTAAAAGCATTGAACAAGCTTCAAGAAATTTTGTAATTGAAACCAAGTGTATTTGGATTTACGTCATATTGGGACTGATAATGATGTAAATGATAGCTAACTCTCATGCTTGTAGTTTTGTCTCCTTTTTGGCTTCACTGGCAATATGGACACCAACCCAACCTCACCTCTTGTTTTGTATAGTTAAAAATGATAATATATATATATATATATATTTATTTATTTATTGATTTATTTATGACAAAGTGAACTCAAAGAAAATGAGCAGTAAGGAAATGAAGTCCTGTATAGGAGTAGTTTTGTCTAGGACATGCTTCTTTATTCTTCTAATAAGGAAATGAGCAGTACCTTCAAAGAAAAACATAGAACAAGGTTTTTCAAAAATAAAGAAGCTCGACACAGATAAGTGAGTAGACAATGGAGCATGAAGCGTGAAGACGATTCACTAATATATTATCAGCAACTGTGAAGACGATTCACTAATGCCATGTTCATCTGGCTTCAAAGACAATGGAGCATGAAGCGTCAGTTTTGGCAATACCGTTCAACTTAACAAGCTCATATCAATGGCTATAGAAGAGAAGCAAAGAAATTTAGTTATATACATATATATATATATATATATTTTCACACATATATATGACACAGTTATACATACCCAAATTACTGCTATACAGGACTTCAAATATAGTAGAACTAGCGTAGTTAGAAATTTCATTCAATGGGATCATTAAAAAAGTTGAGTAGAGAATTTTATGACATAATTTTAATTCTACACATACCTCAAGTAATGGGGAACACCATATTGGTGAAACAGTTGGAGGAGTTGCTATTGCCTTTTCCAATATTTCTGATAAAAATTCACTAATGTTTCATTACATTCATGAATTTAAATGCATGCAACTCAACAGAATTAACAGTACCAAATGAAGCTAGCTTACCCAAACAACAAAATTAACCAGTTTTAGAACATGTTCACCAATATCTATTACATCCACTACCACTTCCAGAAAGAAGGGTGATTCTGGAATCAAACAACAGTCCACATCTCGGCTGGCAAGTGTAGCATACATTGCAATGAAGCCTGCACCAGTAAATTTGAGAAAAATGAAGGAAAGTCTGGATATTACATTTTATCTTTCAAGGAACCTTTATTCCTGTAATTTTTTTATTTTCTAAAAAAAAAAATTAATATTGGGAACATAAATACCAAATACAAAATGTGACACAAATATCTCACATGAGGTGGGTCTCACATTATATGGGACCCTCTTCATGTAAGACATATGTATCACATTCTACATTTGATATTTGTGTTTCTATACTTATTGATGAATTTATTAGAACTCTATTTATTTTTTAAACTATTTTTATCAATGTTAAAATATCTTACAATACACAATTCAAAAAAACGATAGTTGATTCATATCCCGATTTAACAACTATGATTGCAGAAATTCAGAGGAGTGATGTTGCCACCGTTATGCAATTATGCACCTTCAAATCCAAATCTCCTCTTAATCAAAGATGTGTTTGATAATAAAATTTTTGAGATTGTTTCATTGCTTTATAACAAAAAAACGATAAGACACATATATAACACACAGATACATACATACATACCTCTGTGAGATAAGAAACCACACTTGAAATGAAATGATTCATTTTGGAATGCTTTGTTTGCAACATTACATAGTTTACATGGGGCTTCACTCTCACCCCAACTTAGAGTCGGTGATCGCGGCTAACCATGACATCCTTACTTCAGTTATAGGAAGGCATGTGATGTTCCTCATCTCATTCAAACTTTCAGCTTTTGATATTAGCGATTTCTACATTGAATACTGAAAAAATAAAAATAAAAATGGAAGATGAAGGAGAATAAGAAGAAGAGGTTTGGTATGAGTTGTTAAAAAAACACTCAATGGTTCTGTTTGAATGGATTTTGAGCAGTTTTGAGGGAGCACAAAAGGTTGCAATTCATCACTACACTGAAAGCTTCAGAGGCTTCTCAGCTATACTTACCCCAGAGCAAGCTCACAAATTTTCAGGTTTGCCTTGCTCTTGTCCGTTTTGTTGTTTAAGGGTTATGTTTGGAACATGTATTTAGGTAGAGATTTGGAATAAAAAACGATAGCTATGTAATTTAGCCATGCAGTTATGACCACTGAAACATATGGGAGTCAACCTTACCAATGTAGCGGCCCATTAGCTTCACTACACCAACACCATTCTCAACACTTTCAGCTTCAACATGCGCAGCATCGATGGCTCGCTGAGCTTCCTCAACAGCAGTATCAAAGCCAAATGACCTGTCAATGACCTGAATGAAAACAAAAACAGATGCAAATATTGTTATAAAAGATTATACAACTCCTTAGAAAATAATAAAAATTCAATTTAATTTAGAAACAATAGCAATATATAAGCCAAAAGGCTTTTGTAGTTTTCTTTTATTTGACCAAATGAAAGAGCTCCAACATGAAAGCATTTGAGTGTCAATTCATGGTTTTCACAAATGATGGGGAATGAATTTCATTCAGCAACAATTCACATATTCACACATATTTAGCATAAAATTAAGTCTTGTTTTTTATGAAAAAAATGAGAAAATTGCACTTCAGCGCATGTTCTAAAAAAAATACAAATCGGTGGTAACTTTATCAACTTCAATAATTAAAGTTATAAACTTTTTGATGAATTTGTAAATATTTTGTGAAGACACCACTTATTTGCAATTTTCCCAACAAATAATCTTCCAACTCTGGAAATAAAAGCACCTAATGAGCTGCTTAGGATTGTTTTTAAATCCAATAACAAATGCTTAGAAAAACCATGTACGACTTACAATTCCAGCCTGCTTGGGGCCCTCTCATGTTAAATTTTTATTTTTATTTTTTTTAAATGATAATTTAACGCATGAAAGAAGTTGTTAAGTTTTTGACTCGTTTCACCTTTGCCTATTCTGGGATCAATGTTTACAAACATAAAGCATTAAGTGAATTAGACAAAAGGATTGGGTCAAGGGTAACCGCTCAACAAGGACCATAGGATTTGAACCACAAAGATTAGCCGTTTATTATTTATTTTGCTAGAAACAACAAGCACCACAACAAAAATAAACTCTCCTAAAATCATCAGCCATTAATTTCCTTATTGCCCCAATGAACTAGACAACCAAGTATAGAACTCTGTACAGCAGCTATTACTATTAATAATGCACAATAATCACCATTTTTTTTTATAAGCAATAAATAACAACTACCCTTATACCAAGATCAATGTTCAACAATATGACATACCAACATGAATTAATTTGACACACTGTCACAAATAACAATGAATCTCAATCAAATTTACAAAAACCCAGAGCTAAAAATTCATACTCTGCACATTCAAATTATCAATATTAGAGACCAAGAAATAGAGAAGGGAGAAAAGGCCACAAGAAAAAAATAAACAAATAAAAAGCGCCATACAAATTTTGACAAAGACGAATATTAGTTTTACATTTCTGAAATCCAAAACATAAGATTCAGAGTTTCCTTTCCTGTTGTTTAGGCTCTCTCTCAACAACCAAAAAAAACATAGAATTTAGGCAATGATTGAACAAAAGGTGCAAGTAGAAAACGAATCGTTTTAACACAAAGCTGAGTGGCATTGAGGCATCAAGGTCAGTTTAGGGGCAGAGTTGTTCCCAAAAATTTCGTTCTGTACAGATCTAAAAACAGTCTTGTTCTAAAGGTGCAGCTGCCTTGGAATGTTGTAATTCCTGCAAACAGGTGGGACTGTTAGCATAAAATTAAGCTCGGCCCAAGTTTGTTTTTACTGTGGAGTACCTAAACACATGGATAAATGCCTTTAACATGTGTTAAGGGCTCTATGGTTGGAATCATTTATAGAAATTTCAGCCACTTGGCTAAAGAAATATACCAGCCATGGCTAGAATTTTTAGAATCCCATCTAATTTCAACCTTCAATGTTAGTGAAACTGGTTAGTAAATTGTGTGTGGCTCCAACTATACACACATACCCAAAAACAAATAAAAGTAAAACCTGAAAGATTGCAGCAACTCCTTTTAGAATTCCATCCCCTCCGATTATATAAACCTGAACCATTAAAAGGCATTTACCATTTTCAGTATGAAAGATGTTGCATGCTGAAAATGATTCTTAAAACAGTACTATTTTACATCAAAACTTCTCATACCTGGTTAATCCCACGGTCTTGAATGCTATCAACATCTTTGAGGTATCATGCCCTTCTCGTGACGCTCCAATAATTGTACCACCACGTTTATGAATGTCATTTACAACCTTTGGGGTTAAAGTAATATTGTTTCGTGAATAGAAACCCCTATATCCTCCCTACAAGTGACCCCAAAAAAAAAAGCATTAGCTGGCAAGATCACGATATCATGAAATATAAAACCTCAACTCATGGTAACCAAATCAGAACCCATGAAAATACCCACAAGCTGTAAAGCCATGTTTCGATATGTAGTGTAGTGTAGTATAGATTAAGATATTATTTTAAATTATCACATATAAAAACTATTAAAGATGGATCATGTTTGGCAACGCAAAGCAAAGGAATTGAGTATACATCTCTCACTAAAGCAATTATATGAAATGCTTACTAACTTTGCATTATACATATTACAGATTACAGACCAATCAAAGCTATCTACAGATTCACATGCAAAATTTCATCAGGGAAGCCATTGGACAAGGAAACATAAAATTAAAAAACATTCAAAATGCAAGTTGAGATTTAAAAAAACAAATTTAACTGAACACATAGGTTATACACTATCCACTCATTCACATCTATCCCAAGGACTTTGATGGCGCCATACATATGATAGAGGCTACATACAAGTTCAATGATCAGAGTGTTCAGCCTAGGGCATAAACCACCACATGTGACAATACAAGCATGCACCTCATCTGCATCAAAATACACCTGTGAAGCATTGAATAGTTAGTCTAAGCAAAGACATATATGGTGGGTGTGTCATTGTGCAACAATCACGTGAAACAACAGAACATACCTTTTGCCGAGGTCCAGTACGCCGAAAATGTATTCCTCTTGGACTCTCCTTGTGAACAACAATCTGTTGAGAAGTAAAGAAAAACAAAGTTTTAGGCTTGTATCCATTTATTTAATTACATCCAAACTGGACATATAAAACAACCTTTTGGCTTGGTGTAATAATTTCCAAGCTTCTGAGCCAAAAAGAAACAACCAAGCCTGGCCTGGAAAATGGTAGCACTAACTTATTCTCTCCAAACTTATTCCGTTACTCATTCTATTATGTACCGTCTGTCCCTACATGTCACAAGAAGAGAAAGCTAGTTTCTGGGTACTTGATCCCCTAGGTATCAGCCTTGATTTGATCTAGAACGAATAGATAAGCAGTAGTAAAGGAACTAAAGTCTACAATGGAGTTATGCCTGTGCATATTTTGATGAGTACAAAACATAACATTAAGATCAGGAATATACATACATACATACATACATAAAAATTAATGTTTATAACTTTACGCAAATCATAAAGACCAAGTTTCCTAAAACATATATCAAAGAGTATGGATTACTGCAGTAGAATATAAAGATAGATACCAGGCAAGTAAGTAAGGGAAAATTATCAATAAAATGCAAACTCTACAAACTAATTTCAACTTGATGGAAACAAAATTATAACATCAATAGAGATGGATTTGGCAAAATAATATAAAAAAACATTGTGCCTTAATGGCAACACTAAGCCTAGCAACACATGAATCAGTCACATACACAGTTACAAAATGAGTGAAATTAATTGAGTTTGACGAGTGTTTTACTCCTCAAAAACATGTGTAAAATCAACTCATATCTGGTTTTGACTATTTCAGAATTTAATTTCTTTTTATAATACAATTATTACATTTTAAAAATATTAATTTTTCAAAATTACCTTTTGATAGTATATTTTTTTAGAAATATCAATTGTCATAATTGTACTTTTTGTATTATTAATGGATTTAAAAAAAGGACAAAATAAGAAATTCATATTATTTTAATAATTAATTTTTTAAATAAATTAATATTTTGAGATAATAAAAAATAAAATAAGATATTAATATTTTTGGATGGTGGGTGTACAACCTCTTCATAAAAATAAAAATAAAATAAAATAAAATAAAATAACTATTTTGTTTAGTCAAATTTTCAAGTGGAGACTAATGGTATTGTTGTTAATAAAATAAAATAACTATGTTGTTAATTTTTTTATTTTCATTCGGCTACCAAAAAATTTAGTAGCCAAAAGTAGGTCTACAGCGACTGAAAGTCATTTTGTCACCGAAACTTAACATTTGGCGACCAAAATTTTGGTCGGCAAAGATTAAAAATTAATTTTTTTTATTTTCGTTCGGCTACCAAACAATTTAGTAACCAAAAGTAGGTCTACAGTGACTAAAACTCATTTTGTCGTCGAAACTTGACATTTGGCGACCAAAATTTTGGTCAGCAAAGATTAAAAATTAATTTTTTTTATTTTTATTCGGCTACCAAACAATTTAGTAACCAAAAGTAGGTCTACGGCTACTAAATTTTTTTTAGTCGCCAATAATCAACATTCCCCTACTAAAAAAAATTAGTAGCTAAAAATTTGACTTTTGCCGACTAATCTTATTTTTGGTAGCCAATTCTGTGACTTTTGGCGACTAAATTATTTTTGGTAGCCAAAAATGGTCAGCAAAAATGTTTTTTCTTGTAGTGATGCTTAGTGTCTTTAAGTGTAAGATTGCCTTCTATATGACTTAAATTTAGTCGCCAATAATCAACATTCCCCTACTAAAAAAAATTAGTAGCTAAAAGGTTGACTTTTCCCGACTAAAATTAATTTTGGTAGCCAATTCCCACACTTTTGGTGACTGAATTTGTTTTGGTAGCCAAAAATGGTCGGCAAAAATGTGTTTTCTTGTAGTGTATTTGGTAAATTAACTCACTTTTGAAATCACATTTTGAACATGCAATTTTAACTTAAAATCGCATGTTCAAAATGTGATTTCAGGTCAACATGGATAACGATGTGCTAATGTAGCAAGTTAAAATCGCATGTTGAAAATATGATTTCAAGTTGACATTGCTTCTGTTGTAATAACGTGGCAAGTTGAAATTGCATTTTCAACATGCAATTTTAACATAAACTCGCATTTTAAAAATGCAATTTTAAGTTGCACAATTAGATCACCTCAAACTATCGACCATTTACACTTTACACCATAATGTTTTAAACCAACAATTACCCCCCTCAAACTATTTGAATTTGAATAGTCTTTCTGTTAGTCATCTTTTAGATATTTGGATGAAAAATTGTCAAGTGTTGTACACACGATGATTATATTAAATTTTATGATCGAATTATTCTATTTTATCTTTTGTAAAGATTTAATATAATCATCATGCGCAGAACACTTGACAATTTTTTATCTAAATATCTAACAGTTGACTAATAGAAGAACTTAGGGTTCGTTTGAGAAGTGGGTTGGCTTTTTGGCTTTTTTTCTTTTTGGCTATTTTAACCTGGGGCAAAAAAAAACCTTGTTTGGGAATGACTTTTTGACTTTTTTGACTTTTTATGAGAGAAATAATGTAATGATTATGGGTTGAATGTGATATTTTGTCTTATTAGACTAAAAAATTTATTTTGTCTTTTTATTGTTAAAATAGCCCCCAACCCAACCCAACCCAACCCAACCCAACTTCCCAAACAAAGTCTTAATATTCAAATTCAAATAGTTTGAAGGGAGTAATTATTGGGTTTAAAACATTAAGGGGGTAAAGTGTAAATGGTTGATAGTTTGAAGGGATTTGAATAATGGGTTCCACAAAATAAATATGGGTTCCACAAAATAAAAGCCTACAAAAAGGGCCCGTACAACAAATAGGCCCATGGACTATAAAACATACCCAACTCATATATATATGCATAAAAGGAATCAACTAAATTCTTGGAGCCCAAGTCCATACAAAAAAGAAAAATAAGAACCCATGTGATAAAAATAAAGCATACCCAGAGCCCAGATCATATATACATGCATAAAGGAGATCAACCAAATTCTTAGGAGCCTAATGCCTCGTTTGGGAACTCTCCATTTTAGTTAAAAAGTCAAAAAGTTATTAAATTAATCTAAAAGTCAACAACCCACACCAAAAAGTCAAAGATTCTCTTTTCTCTCTCATTTTTGCACATCTTTTCGTAAAAAGTCAAAAAGTCATCCCAAACATACTAGTTTTTTTTAGCTCATATTTTAGCCAAATAACCAAAAAGTTACTAAATTAGCCTGTTCCCAAACGAGGCCTAAGTCCAAAAAAAAAAAAACCCATGCAATAAAAATAAAGTATACCCAGCTCATATATATATATATATATACTAGTGATCAAGCACACGCGATGCGTACGCAAATCATTTGAAATTATGATATGAAATTCACATGTTTTGAAATTCATATTTTTCTCTAATAGAGAAGCATCCGAAATTATTTATTTTGAAAAGGAAAAATCATAAAGCAACTTGTAAAAAAAAAAATAAAAACAAAATACATATGTATTTGGCAAAATAATGTATGATCTAGCTGGGGTACCTTTATTTTTTTGTTTAAAATGTTGTTAAGCATAAAAACACTAATCCAAGCCTCTTAATCACTTACAATCAAAACAAATCGAAGAACACTGAATTTTTTTCTTTTAACAAACACAAGCAAAAAATAATAATAATAATAATAATAATAATAATAATAATAAAATAAAAAAATAAATTTAAAAAAAGAAGAAAAACAAACAAAAAAAATATTAATTTGTTTATTAAGAACATTGAATTGTTTCTTTAAAAAACTCACACACCAAAAAAATGAAGAAAATAAACAAAAAAAATTTATATAAAAAACAAAAAAAAAACCAAATTTATACACAAAAAACAAACAAAAGCTTGAAAAAGTGAATAACGAAAAAAATGAATATAAAAATATAAAAGCACAAAAAATAGAACAATACAAGCCCAAGACTTTTAAAATATTATAATCAAAGAGA